ACCTGAGCAACAGGAGGAGCCAACGGTGGGCGGCTCGTCTCGGCACGAAGAGTGTGATCAACCTGGTGCTCTCGAAGCAGCTCTGCCTCACGGATGTGGCGAACCAACCGTTCCCAGCACTGGCTCTTGGAGCCGTTCTTACCAAGGCCGAGGGACACGAGCGCAGCACGCATGACTCGCAACGAAGAATTGCGATCAATGACAACACCACTGACAGTCACCGTTTCGATTGCATCGCGCTCAGCCGGGGGCGCCTCACCGCCCTCTGGTGCCACTGGCGCGGCTTGATCATCCGACTGTCGTGGGTCATGAGGCATCTCACCTACACCACCGCCATCATCCTGCATTGCATCACCTGATGCCTCAGCAACAGGCGCAGGGGAATCAGTGGCGGCTGCTGACTCCTCGGTGGCATGTTCACGCACAGCATCAGGCGTGGAAAAACCCATCTGGCGAGGGCTCAACATCTTATCATCATGAGCAATCGTGATTGTTTGCTCAACATCCTGATGCTCAAACGGCAAGGTCCGGTTGGCCAATGAAGCCACATCCTCGGCAAACTCGAGGAGAGACCACTCTCCGGCTCTACGCGCAAGCGTTGTGCGGTACCATAGCAACTCAGACAACGGCACAAGAGTAGTGTCCACAAAGGACGTGCCGAAGCTCAACAAAGCGTAGCACCTGTGGCCTATGCGCTGCCAGCCGGAAGCATCGAGCCTGCGCAACGGATCTTCGAGAGTCACATGTTCAATGACACGAACGGCTGGGGGCTGCTCATGGAGTACACACACGCTCCCTGATGCACACAGCGACTGCCGCTTCAGCTTAACAGGCTCTCGCACGTCGCCATTCGTCAACACGAAGCCGTCAGGGCTGTTGGAGGCAGGAACCACATAAAACCCAGCTTTGTAGAGCTTGCCAAGCGAGAGCAGCGGACAAGTGACTCCTCCAACAAGGAACCGTTCCTTAAATCTCAAAGACCCAATCTGAACCTCGGCAACGCGCACGCCCTTGGACTTCAACAGACGACCAGAGGCATCAACGAATTTCTGAGTGAGAGGCCCATCAGCTTCACCAACGGATGCATATGAGTCTGGAAGTGCACTGATGTCGGCTCCTGAGTCCAAGATGATATCTTCAAAGTATGGCTCTACCACTGCTCGGACATGGCCAACAACGTCTGAGGCATGGGTCACCACGGGACCAGACACGACCTTGCACCCATCTGCAAAAACTTGAACTGGACCTGCATCAAACCTGGGATCTGCAACGGACTTGAC